GACACATCGTTGGAAAGAGCATAAAAAATGATCGAACCCATCTATCAGGATTTTCCTGGTAAATTGATCAATAAGGGACAGGGAGGCCCGGTAGGTCATGATTTTGTAAAAATTATTTTAAATTGAATACTATAGATACAAATATATGAATTATTATATTGATAATTGTTTATAGTGTTTGTATTCAAATAACACATACTTGTCCCTGATTCTTGACGTGTGTGACCACACCTTTGGTTCTCCAGTCGACAGTGTCGGCCAGGGATGGGTCGACCTTCTCCTCAGCAAAAGTGACGTTCACGTGATTCAGAGGTACCTTCAGATTCAGGAACTGTCGGTACTCCTCGTTAGTCATGTCTGCAAACTGGTTGACACCCAATCGGAAAGTGTGGACACCGTTGTCAGCCTCAGCGTTATGGGCTTTGATATACCTATAGTTGGTCTCAAAGACCTGTCGCCGCATAACCTCCTCGGCCACTCCTAAGTAGGCATTACTACGGAATTGATTCTGTAATATAATGATTAGTATTATTAATTTAATTAAAAATTCTTGTCAAGAATTTCATGAATTCATACCTTGAATGCAATCCATTCGCTGTCCAGTTCCTGGAGGGGAACGGCGCTCACCGACACTATTATGGCTAAGGCTATGAAGGCTTTCATTATTGACAGTCAATACCTATCAAACTTGTAGTGGAACTGGAGGTTAACATCCTTGCTTATATACCCAATTCATAATCGGAATATAAATAATTTCGTAAAATTTTTTGTTCACATGTTATATTCATTTCAGGGGAGTATATCAAAATCTCGAAAACTAAAATCTCGAAAAACAGAATCTCGAATTTCAAAATCTCGAAAAACATAATCTCGAAAACAAAATCTCGAAAACATAATCCGGAAAAACATAATCTCGAAATTTTAAAAATCATATTAATAACACTATATCGGAGTAACTGGCACGTCCAGATATATCTGATGTAGTTAGCATCCGGTATGGTAAGCTATATCTGCTATATGCGAAGAGCTGAAACCGATAAAACTGTATCGGGCCGGGCCAGTACTCCGCGCGTTACCTAACCCAACCTAATGGTTCAACAAGGTAATAATCATGCTAGCTATATTAGATATATGTGTATGTGCTAGTTATTAGTGTTATTAATACGATTTTTTAAATTTTGAGATTATGTTTTTCGAGATTATGTTTTCGAGATTTTATTTTCGAGATTTTATAATTCGAGATTCTGTTTTTCGAGATTTTAGTTTTCGAGATTTTGGGTGTATACGTCATTTCAGTATTAGTTATAAACTTTATAATTGATTTGGCATTTGATAATAAAATCATGTGCAATCTCAATCGTATCATCTAGTACATATTCTTGAGTTTGACCATATTAAATAAATAAAATACTTATATTTTGTACAGAATATAGTAAAATATACTTGCGAAATTCTTGACATATAATCTATTTATAAACTNCTCAATCGTATCATCTAGTACATATTCTTGAGTTTGACCATATTAAATAAATAAAATACTTATATTTTGTACAGAATATAGTAAAATATACTTGCGAAATTCTTGACATATAATCTATTTATAAACTCTATTTATAAATCTATATATCTATATAATCTATATTTATATATCTATATTTATACAACATAGTCATTTCAATGTCGAGTATAACACTTTAACTGTATATTAACGCAATAATTCTAATCATAATAGACTTATTTAAATAATATTAATTTAATTTAAATAACATAAAATACACTATTTATTGCATATTAAATAAAATTTTGATAACTTAATTACTTTTATTTTTTAAGATTAGCACAAGAATTGTTTGTTTAGTATATTTTTACGTCAAAATAAATACAAGGTGCTTATCATTAAAAGAGTGCCCGTGAAATACACTGATAATACAAAGCGGGAGACTATTTGTTGAGAGTGGGGGACAAAGTGTCAAAGTATTCGTGACAGTGAATGTGAGTGAGTGAGTGAGTGAGAGAGAGAGAGAGAGAGAGAGAGAGATTACAGAATAGCATATATTCTTAAGTTTAAATCGCAAAAATGTGATAGCTCGTTTAGTACTTTATATCGATTACACGATAATTCCTTACGATTGTGAGAGGGAAGGGGTTCGTACGGCACATATACCATAATAATCTGTTGCTTTTTAGCACTTTTTTAAATGACAAGACCTTTCATTTGTAACATTGAATTACAACTAAACCTAAACATCAAATCTAAGCATCTATTGAGTATTCAGTAATCCAGGGCTACCGGGCCTTCGGAGACCATCTCCTTGAGGGCTACCTCATCGCCGTTGATCAGGTAGTCATACCCGGACACCGTGACCTTGCTCATTGTAGGCTCATGTAGTATTTATAACACAAAGTCTATGCAAATGGAAATTTTTCCCAACAAACATCACAATAATAAGCATTTATATGAATACATAGTTTTATTTATTTTTTAATTATTTTTACATCATAATTATCATACATTTAGTTGACACCGGTGGGGTAGACACCATAGGTGGCCACACCGCACTGGTTGTTCTTGTTTCGGGCCATTTTGATGTATCCGTCCTCACCAAAGATGGTTCCCCACGAGTTCTTGATGAGCCAGTAGTCCTCACCGTCCTCAGTGCCATAGCCCACGGCTAGTACGGCGTGATCCAGACCCTCTAGGTTCTTTTTGCATGCCTTCTCCACATAGACACCCGAGTCGTACAACTGGAAACTCTGGTGACTGGCGTCGATGGCCACGGATATCGGGCCCACAGTGCTAACGGCGTTCTGGAGGGCAGCCTCCTGACCGGTCTGCAGGGTGTGGGTGCCGGTGACGGACACGGCTTTCTTGCTCTTAGTGAACTGGCAGGTGCCCATACGGGCGTGGTATGGGTAGTCAGACTCCTTTTCAATGCCACCCTCTTTGATGACCAGTTGTATGGCCTCAACAGTATCGCCACCTGTTTGGCAGACATCACCGCCGGAGTGGATGCAGTCGACGATCTGTGAGGGCGCCAACTCTACCAGCTTTCCGGTTGCGATAGCGTATTGACCTAAGGGTCGGGCGTTTGTATTAGTATTTTGTGTGATTTACGAGATATTAAATAGATATTTATTAATATTTTATATTCGGCTTTTCATTTTAAATCTCTCTCTCTCTCCCTCTCTCTCTCTTCCTCTCTCTCTCACTCTCTCTCTCCCTCTCCCTCTCTCTCTCTTCCTCTCTCTCTCCCTCTCTCTCTCTCTCAAAATAATTAATATATAAAACTTACTTTCAATTGAATCGGTGGCCGAGAATGCGAAACACGAACCGCACTATAGATACGAATGCAATATATATTAATAATAATCCTAAATCAAACAATACAAAAAATTAAACACATACCTGTCCCTGATTCTTGACGTGTGTGACCACTTTCTTAGTTCTCCAGTCGACAGTGTCAGCCAGAGCTCCGACGGGGATCTCAGCAAATGTCACGTTCAAGAGGCTTGGGTTCAGTCTGAGGGTCAGTTGCTTTCTGTACTCCTCGTTAGTCATGTCTGCAAACTGGTTGACACCCAATCGGAAAGTGTGGACACCGTTGTCGGCCTCGGCGTTATGGGCTTTGATGTACGCATAGTTGGCCTCAAAAACCTGCCGGCGCTCAGCCTCCTCGACCTCACCACCGAAACCGTTAC